ATATATATATATATATATGTATATGTGTGTAAGTATTTTTATATTATTACTATTATGTTCCATTGTTGCTTGTCATTGCATGTTGTAACCTGTCTAGGACAATCATCGCATCACTCTCTCTCTCTCTCTCGGACACCGGCGCAAACCCGTTCTCGCCTGAAGCCGGAATGCTAAGCTCGATGAGAAGTCCTAGGTTGGCAGGAAAACCCACAAAACAGGAAGAAATATACCAGGAGTCATAAAACAGGGTGCCCCATGATCGGGTGTCCGTTCTCCACTCACTTAGGGACTAGAAAACACCCCAACATGTGACTCGTGGTACCCTGCCTTCGACAAACATCGATTTCACCTCGATGGGATTCTGTGCGCAGGGGACCTGTTTGTCGCTGCTATTCATCACGTCAATCTTTGTTGGATAGAGGATAAAGGGAGAGCCTAAGCAGCCTAAGCAGCATCCTCAAAGTCGGAAAGAACTGCCAAGCACAAGCCGAGCATCCAGAGAGAGAGGACCAAACTTCGTTTGTTGAACCGACTTGGCCGCCATCTTAGAATGAAGCAAGCGAGGTGCGGGGCAGGGCATCCGTGAAAGGCTCAACGGGCCCGGCGAAGAATGACTTGCAGCGCAAATCGTCCGACAAAAAATACATCATGTCAAGTCCCAACACTGGCGTGGGCTGTCATCATTTGAGAAAGGATCATAGAGGAAAGCGCTTCTCTGTGCAAGGTGACAAAGTTAAACGAAGTTTACTGTTACAAGTGACAAGTGTTCATGTTGGAAAGGCGGCTTCCGTCTTTCGCGCGAAATCCCGGATCGCTTCCCATCTTGCAAAACAGTGTTTACAATCCAAATGGGGCGCCAATCAACAGTCTACATTATTGCAGTGTGGAGGGTTTGAGGTATTGACGCAAATACATGCGCATCTGCTCTGGCAAAGCAAAGCTTGAAAAGAACTGCGACTGAGACACCGCTGTAGCTTCCCGTCAACAAATTCCTTGGTTGACCAGTGAATCAATTTGGCGAAGCTAGCAAATGACGCTGTGTCCGTCTTCATCTGACCAATAGCTGGATTGATCCTCGCTGTTGGCCCTTCCCCGTTCCCAAAACAATTTATAGTCTATAGTCTATAGTGGTCCCCAAATAGAGAAACGATGTCCAACACATGTTGAAAGGGGTTTTAATTTTCTGATAGTTTCTATCTACGCTATCTATTTGGGGGTCTATAAAAAAATACTCTCCCATATAGGGATTCGAAGAATCAGGGCTTTCTCCACATCAAGACCATCTGCAAAGAGTGCGGAAGACAGGCCGACACGATGCAGCAACTGGGAAAGGATGCTTTTGACTTTTGACTTTGCCAACCTGCAAGGATTGACAGAAGCTCACCTGATGCATTCTGCTTGCCTACACTACACGTCCGGGTCACGACGCTCCCACGGTGCGCTCCCACGGTGGGCTCCCACGGTGGCTTCCCCTGAAACCCGCGATGGCAGCCAAGGAGCACAATAAAGTGGATGAGGGAAAAGCTCGCCTCGGAGTCGATCGCAGAGCCACTCGCTGCTTCTCACAGTCCAACTGTGTCGGTCACAGTTAGGAGATGGACTCGAAATCCAGCTGGGCTCTGCCCGCACGGGGCAGAGGAATCCCCTCAAGGTGTCTTACCCAGAAACCGAAGGACATGTTGCGTGGGCACGCAGGCGACGCAGCTCTCCCGGTCTCGCCGATTTCGGCGCGGTTCGGAGGCAGGTGCCACAGGCGGTCATCTTGCCAAAGGATGCATCCCTTTTTGGGGGGGAGGCCAGACCAGTATATCCTTCCAAAGGAGGCCGCCGCGACAAATGATGTGTGCGCCCAAAAGCCGTCTTGGGAGTGTGAGAACACGATGTGACAACCTCGAGCTGGCAACGAAAGGCTGGAGTTACCAAGAGTCTCCAATTTCGTTCAAGTTCTTTTTTGAGGTCCATGAAAAATTGAAGGCGAGGGCCCAACTGAAGGACTGTGAAGCAGCTTAAGATCTACACTCGAATGTTCAAGAAAACACATGAAAAATAACGCACTACAATTCCATGGCCAGTCCAGTTTCACCACCATCCAAGTCCAGTCCGAGTTTCAATGGACACTGCCAGCACAAAGACGCGGATCGTAAAACGTTTTGCTTGTCGATCCTCCTCAGTCGACGGTGCCTTCGTCAACCTTGACCAGCTGGACAAGTGCAGCTTCAGGACGAGGGAAGAGGTGGAGGAAGCAGCATTTTGGGGGCTGAAAAGAAACACAAAAAAGGAAAAGGATCAGGAGGCCGTACGTCTACAGTACTACAAGTAGCAGATGTATTTCTGGAGGTGCAAAAAATGATCCGGATGCTGTGTCCTTCTACAACTGATGTAGGTGAACGAAAGAGTCTTTCTTCCCCAAGTCCACCCCCGGTGATCGAAGTCCGTGAAGACTTCGGCGGTCTCTGACTCAGTTGTTGTTCTGACAGCGCCATACCCCTCCAGCCGTGAAGGTAATGCAAATCCACACACACCAATGGTCAGCTCAGCTGCTAATGGAATACCAAATGAGATCCTCGGCTCAAAAAAACGGAGGCGATTTGTTGGGGTCTGGACATCATTAATTGCTGCCCAAAACTCACTGCCCAGACGCGACCCTGGACCCTTGCGTTCAGTAGGGGCAGAGTCAAGGGATGGCTTAGCTGATCTATTGGTGCTGGGACGTGCACCCTGATCTATTGGTCCATTGGTGCTGGGACGTGTCAGAACTCAACAGCTACGAATAGAAAAGTCATGGAATGGAGGTGTGGGGCTCTGACAGTTCACCCCAAAGCCCCCTTCACCCGATTGACCCGTGCTGCTCCAGTCGGGCGGCAAAGAGCCATCGCCAAAAAGGTCTTCATGTTCAGCCTTACTGGAGATGAACTGGGATGACAAACACTGCAGCTGGTCATATGATGGTACAAGATTGGCAAGAAACAACTAAAACAAATACCCCCGACAGCAGTTTTCAGGTAGATTCCCTTGCTCAGAGCGGAATCAATCAACGGTACTACTAGTACAGTATCTATCAAGAATCTCTCACCATGCTGGCCAAAAGGGTTGGCTTTCTTCAAGGCAACAGCTTGCATTCCGACCAACTGCTAGCCCAAGCGCTGGCGTGGTGGAAGTGCCCTCAGCTGCTCCGCACGTCACGGCACATCGGAGAGGCTCAAGACTGGAGAAGCCATGTCTTTCACAGCCTGCCCTACATTCAAGTCTTCCATGTTGCGATGACGCCCATAGCCAAAGCCCTGCTCTTTTTTTGTTTAAGACATCAGGGCACTCAATCCTAGGGCGACCATGAAGACAGGAGGACGCTAGGAGGACACCCCTTGAACCACTAGAACCAGTAGAAACTGGAAAACTTGTACCTTTAACCACTCCACACTCACCACGGCGCCATCGGGAGGCAACGAGGCTCTAACCACACAGGCGGGGAGACACATCGGGGGCAGTGGATGAAAGGAAACACAAGACGGAGGGGATGAAGGAGGCAGCGAGGGTGGACATGAAACACGAAAAGGTGGAAAAGCCCCGAGCAGAAAAGGAAAAACGGAACCAAAATGAACAAGAGTCATCCAGCAGTCACAGAGCTCCTGGTGCGGACTCCATGCAGCTGAACAGAGCACTATCCACTCACTTGGGGGACATTTAGTCTTTTGGAGTATTATATGAAACTACCAGCACCCGACTTCACAGGTCACCAATTGAAACCTGTGACAGGGCCTAACACCCAACCCTCCAAAACTCGGAGACCTACAGGGTGGAAGGTGCTGGTACTTATATCTTCATATGTTCCCTTTCCTCTCAAGACACTTCTGCCACGGCACCGTGTCCCCGAACTCCGGCGGCGCAGCTTGCGCAGCTGGCGCACTGACTGTGGTGGAGTCCTCGCGCGGGACTCCAACGACTTGACCCCCTCCGAAGGTGTCGTATGGAGCTGTGAGTAGAAAAAGGCCACCTTTCCCTACAGGTCTTACGGACCTCATTTGACTAGGTCCGGTGATGCAAAACCAGTACTCAATGAGGTAAAGGACCAGGTTTAACTTGGTCCTTGGACTTGTAGGGTTACCAAAGCACTGACATGGTTTCGAATTACTGGGAGGCTCATGAGGTTGAATCTTCTCGCAAGCAAAGTCAAACGCCGCCAAGCAGCAGCCGTGGGCAAGGATGGCACATTGTTGCTCATCGAGCGTGCGAAAAAGGTGCAAGTCGTGCGTGTTCAGGTGTTGCACCAGCAATGGACAGCAATGATTGAGCTTTCAGGTCGGCTTGCTGAACCCTTTGAGGGGTGATTTTTAGGGGGTAGGATTGGCGAGCTGAGCTGTGGTGGGATCTCGGCGGCATCTTCATCTTCAAGTCTTTCTGCCATCCTTTCTGCTGAGGTCTCCTTGGAACCTACGCCAAAACGGGGAGCATCTTTGGATCTTCTACCCCCTTCGGGGATCTTCAAAAGGACGTGTCGCTTCGGTTTGAGCCCCAAGAAGGCACCGTTCGGCACATTCATCCGCGCTCGGACGCCGGAAGCTCTCGGACGCCTTCGGACGCTTTGGGCTCAGGGAGGGAGGAGAGAGAGAGAGAGAGGTGTTTTGTTCCGGTCAACCATGGATGCTTCGGTCTAGGTCGTCTGGACTCCAAGGTCCCTAAAGTGGTGCCCCCCTGCAAGGTGTTCAGAAGACGGACGGGCCTGATGGCCTGATGGGAAGAATCTTCCACTTTGTTGAACTTGGTGAAAGCATCCGCTGTTCTCAAGGGAGAAGACTTATTACTCTCTTTCTGGTGCGGACGCCTTCTGGTTTTCGGGTGGATGTAGAAAGCCATTTCGCATCCAAAGAATGGTTGGACCTATCCCAGTCGTTTCTGGATCCGAAATCTCCATCTTCGGACGCCACCTTAGTCCCGGGTCGTGTAACCCTCGCTGCTCTGGCCCCCCATTGCTCGTTTCCCCCCAAGCCCCTGAGACCACGCACCAGGATGGCAGATCCGCATCGGCCTGCCGCAAGGGCTCCGCTGTCCATGGGCCAAATGATCTCTCTTCAGTGAACTCAGGAAAACGCGGAGGCATACGCGGCACAGCAATTGATCCAATGTGCCAACACACAAACCCTCCAGGAGGGTGGAAAATGACTCTCCTGTACCGCATGAAACCTCGTGTATATCAGAATTTGGGTGCCATTTCTTGGTCAACCTGGTGGAGAGGGAAGGACGCGCGTCGGCCAACTTGAATCGAGATCTCCAATCATGACCGGAGTTGCGATCCAGCCACCCTCGTTTCCAACGACGTGCATCGGTGTGCCCAGTCCCGCGCTTGCAACCCGCATGGCGCCTGATGACTGCCCCATGAGCGCTCATCCTCAGAACGTGAATGGATAAAGACCACACCTGGCTACATGGAGTGGAAAGAACAATTCCCCACAAGTCCAGTCCCACCCAGTAAAACCTTGTCTTTTATCTCATTAAGTAGTGTTTTTGTATGTCCAGGTCCAGTAAAATGAGGTCATTGACCTGTAGGGATTGCAAATGCTAGGTTCCGTATACCAGATGTCATAGGACAAGTGCGTGGGGGTGACGGGCGATGCATTGTTGGCCATGGTGTGTTGTGGTTACGTTTGGCGTTGTCATTCTGTGTGCCATTGCCTACTGCTTGATCTAGTGCTTGTCCGCTTTGTCAAGTATAGCATCTGTTGTGGTTCGTTCTTCGTGTTTCTTCAGCGGCGCCGTTCTTCGTGTCTTCTCAGCGCCGATGTTTGGAACAAACAGTGCGGGCACACCGTTCGGGCACACCGGTCGGCTCGACCACGGCCGATCAGGTCAGGTCAGACCCGTGACGGAACGGGCGTGGGAAGAGGTTCGGTGGTGTGCGCGCTCTGGTTGGTGGGTAGAGGTAGATGTCACAAGGTCAAACGGGGCGGTGGTCAAGCTATGTCAAGCTATCTAACTATACCCTAAGGCCATCCGTTTGACCCTAGTCCTGTCTGGAGAAGGGCTGGATCCATTTCTCCACCCTATCCGTCTGAATTGCCTTCACGTGATCTCAGCCTTGGTTGTTTCACAAGCTACCCACTGTGAACTACAAGAACCGCAACCTACTGTACACCCAAGCTCAAGCAGCTCAAGCCGTGGCTTCAGATGAGCACAGAAAATGCAAAGCAAATGATACACTGTGTTTGAACAACAGGCAAGCTCTTCGAGCAGCCTGGGGAAAAAATAACAACAACATGAAAAAAACACCTCCCCTTTAGGCGTAGTTTGCTTTGCCCTCAACCACCGTTGCTTCCACTACTGGAATGCTAGGCATCTCTGTGCTCGGTCGGCCTATGCCAGTTTGAAGTTCCAATGAATTTGCGGTGCTCTTTTGCTGGTAGGTCCCGATGCAACAGCAGCAAAGAACAATCGAAGCGAGACAGCAGCAAATGCTTGCAATGACAATCGCAGGGATCATCCAGAAGACGCAGGTGTTTGTGCTGCAATCCAGCTCGGACCAACAGTAGTCACATTCACATCGGTTGAAGAAGGGGTCGTCGAAAGCAGCCTCCGGCACGCAAATGCCATGACCACATTCATCTGTTGATCCAAGAGTGCAAGAGCCTGTTGCTCCGCAAAACGACAGGAAGAACATCCATTTTCCACCGCCGTTCGGCGCATTGCATGGCATTCGGCGCCGAGAGATGAGGGGATGAGGGGCCGACAGAAGGTGACTAAGTACTAAGTTGCACGGCACAGAGGTCTTCGGGAGCCAAAACAGGGCAGCAAGGCTCCACTGCTCCACACAGAAAAATACCAAAATGACTTGCGGCGTCTTGTGCCTGCGCCAGTTCTTTATTCCAATACAGATTGCCCTAAGAAACATCAATTGAAGACAAGTAGATGAAGTCCAGAAAGAGAGAACCTCACGACGTAGCTGTTCTTTGTTTAATCTCCCTAAAACCCTAAAACCTCACCCAGGCGTGCTTCCCAATCGAAAATATACCCTGTCGCTGACAGCTCCGACGCCAGGCGCGTTGTTCTGGCATTCTGCTTGGTCACTGTGAAAGGGAAGTCCGTCCTTTCCCAGACACACTCTGTAGACTCCTCCCGGACTCACCCCCCGGACTCACCCCCCCCCCTTTGGAAAAAATCGTTCATAGGGGGTGAAACAGGGGTGAAACATCAGATGAGCCTACCTCACCAGATGTCTCAATGACACATTGTCTCGAGTCTGGCTCTCAGAAGACCCGAGACCAACGCCCCCGCCTTTAACGCCTTTAACGCCCGGCGACGTGGGTCGTAGCACCGAGGATTGACCGTTTGCTGAAAAGACCGGGTATGGAAATGGTGAAGAAACGATGCGCGGTGAATCTGGCACCACTTTGTCAATGGTCGAATTATAAACTTACAAGGTGTCCGTGGGGACTTTTTGATATTATTGCAAAGGCCGTAGGCTTTTTCAAAACAGCAAGTCTGAACATGGGTGAACATGGCAGAGACGGTGCCCTTTTCGAAGCCGCTGAACTGGTTCATGCCCACTGGGTCGCTCATTGCTTGACTCTCGCTCGGTCACTGAGTTTTATTCACACGCAGCCAGAGTCAATCATGGCAGCCAGAGATGAGTGGTTTTCATCACTCGACAGATTTTGTATTCCTGGTCCTAGATCTCCCAAAGTTGTCTGGTGAAGACCGAAGGAGCAGCTTGCTCCCTGAAAATACCGCGAATCTGACACCAAAGTGCCCCACGTGTATGAAGAAAAAAGTACTGCGCTTCGTTTCGAAAAACGCTTCGCACCCACAGAAAGAGCCACTAAAAGAGAGCTGTTTTTTGATCTACAGACAGGCATCGAACACCGCACCTCGGTCGTTTAGCCCTCTGAGCACCGGACCTCAGTCTCACGGTGTCGAGCACGAGCACCAGTGGCGGTCCCCACCTGCAACGGGTAAGGCGAGGGGCAAACCGACCTTCGTTGAAAGTGGATTTCCAGTGAAAACAGTGAAAAGGAGGGAAGGAAGCTTTTAGGGGTATCGACCCCACTAAGTATCGACCCCCACTGCGTCGGCATCGCGTGAAAGCAAAACGACCTTCCTTTCCCACACGTTTCTGCACAGAGTCCCTGACGCCGGTACCCTAAAACTAGTACCCCGGAGAGGAGGTCGTCCGTTGTGAAGGTACGAACAATGTCGATTGGTTTGTGACAGCGAGTGACGGCGGCACGAGCAACTTGGAATCATCGAGCGACACGGCGAGGCCAAGTGAAGACAACACATGCTGCATAGTACATCTGGTGCGCCTAACCACAGCTGGCCAATTGGGGCGCTGATCCCAGGACGAGCTGATGGTGATCACAAACTGGTAAGCTGATCGGAGACATGGAGACAGAGCAGTTGTAAGCTGATTGTGATTGTGACATGTCTAGAGCAGTTGGCTGTTGCTCTACCAGTTGGCTTTTCCTAACATCTACTTCCCGTTGAGGCGTGAGAACATGATCCAACATCTGCTTCAGTTGGCCAGTCCGGTTGAAAGTGTCATGTTCATGTTGATACTCCTATGCTTTGGTAACCAGGGAACCAGCAATCTGTTGACACTTCTCATTGTCTGTGAACAGAGTATGTCGCAAAAGGACTCATATTATCTCGCATTGCTTCAGCAAAGAACCAGGCAACTGCTGCAAGTGTTCCAGATATCACTTGATCCGCAAATGTCAGCTGTACAGGGTTACAGGATCTCTCTATCAAATCAAAACACCATGACGAAGTGTCCAGCTTGGTGCATTGGCATCATGCCCTGCAACTCAACCAGCCAACAAACCTGTGCACCCTCTTCAACTGCACCTTTGAAACGACTTCATACACATCATGTAGTATCACACAACATACGACTGAGACTTCTGTAAGAGTTGACACAGTGCGCGCCAGCTTCAGTAGATAGTTCCATCAGTGGCAAGTGTCGAGCCAAACTCTCTCAACAAGAAGAGGAAGAAGCGTCTCACACTCCAAAAACTGCAGGAGGTCTCACCAAGATGTCCAAATTCAAGTTCTCTGGACCTCAGACGAAGCAGCCCACACTTCCCTGTTTTCTCCTCATGGTTACGTGGAGTGAAAACCACGGTCGTCGGGTCGAACTCGGGGCGACCCGTCCTCGCTCCGCGTGAAGCTTGGTAGCAAGGCCAGGAGCGCCCCCCCGCGTACGTCGTGTCCTTGTTAGTTATGAATATCACAGAGAGTGTAATCATTTCTCTCCACATCGGATCCATGATGAACATATGAACCCTCTTGATGTTTAGATGTTGGTTTCCTCTTCCTCTCTTGGCCTCTTCCGCTCACTCCTCCTCCCGCCACTCCCCCCGGAGTCGACGCGTGCGACGCGTCCGCACGCGGCTTCCACCCCGTGAACCCGAGGTCCGCGCAATGGCCATACCTGACGCGTCGAACGCGACGACGGAACCACAGCGTGGTTCGAATCTCCACAGTGGAAACCCATCCTGCGCTGGTTTTGAGGCATGGGTCCCAATCTGCAACCAAGTGCCTCCACTTAGCGCAACCACGGAAAACAACTCAAAAAGGTCATGTTCAACGATGAAATATCATCGACCCATCCATGTCAGCCTTTTCATGACGAAAACAACAACGGGCACCGACCCTCCACCAAACCGCCGCGGGTTCCGGCGCACGGCTCGGCCGAGCGCCAAGACTGCTCCGAGAGCCACCGTTGGCATACCTCGGTCGACCGGACGACTGGGCAGCTGGGTGGTTCAGGGACAGGGACAGGGACAGGAACGCGGGCCAGCATGGGGATGGGAAAGTACAAGAACGGATGGGATGTGATCGATTCTTACCTCTACAATCCTTTACATCTGGGCAATGATCAATTCGTGTCCCCAAATCGGGAGTCATGCCTATGCCTATGTAGACCTCTGTCATCTATCTCCCAGTTGCCCATCGGTCAGATGCCGAGCCCAAGAAGAAGAGACCAAGCATATGTTTAGAACATCCTCAACACACGCAGGAACTAGAACATGCGTCAAACACTCCCAGACGTCTTTCGTCGCTCTTCAGGATCGGACCAAATCGAGGAGAACAAGGCAATTCTCGTGCACATAGTACCTCTTCTGCCACGGTGGTGTAGATCCCGATGTCTCTTGTGCGCGGAATGGGATCCAAGTCATTAAACGCTGTGCTTCGGACTCTTTCGCCTAGTCTAGCGGAAGGCATGAGAGGCTTGGCGAAAATCACACCCCCACACCCTAAAGCGAAGAATGCAAAGCAAGGTGCCAAACCACAGCCACGTGCGCAATGCCGATTTCTTAATGTAGACTCCTCCCCATTTGAATTGAACAACCTCTCAGAGTCTACATTACTGAGATTTCCTCAA